CCCCAAAACCCCAAAACCCCAAAACCCCAAAACCCCTTTTTAATATCAATTATTGGAATTTTAATAACAAATGAGGGACACAGACAGTAATTCAAGCGACAATAATCATATTGAGGATAACTCTGAAGAAATAGGCTGGGTTTCTTATGGAATGATGGCTACTGGGACTATGGTTGCTTATCAATTCTTCCTGGTATACTTTATGAGCACTCCATCAACAATATCGGTAAAGATTTCAGTTTCGCTTGCAATTGGTCTCTTAGCTGTGATTTGTGAATCATGCTTAAAGCTCCTATCGTCCCTTAGATCTTGCTTCTGCAAACGGAATCCTCGCCATAGGTCGTCCAGCTTAGACTCAGAGACTAGAGAAATGAATGAAATCTACATTCGAGAGGAGAGCCATTCTGAAGAAGATAACTTAATAAGGAAGAACTCCCTCTGGAAGTACGTCTCCTCCTTCATAACTAAAATCAAATAATGACGACAGCTACTGGAAAAGCAAGGACTCCAGCCCAGAGCAGAAGGAGTGTCAGACCAAGCACGGAGAATTTAGAGAGCAAGAAGAAGATAAGGCCAATGAGCTTAGCCAACCCTTGCTGGATAAAGACGATGAGAGCAAATCGTATTTGAAGGTGGCGTCGAGAGGAGGAACTTTTAAGGACTCGACTCTTAATGTCAGCAATCATTCGTACCGTGCTCTAGAGAGGTATGAGTCAAATGAAGGCTCTGAAATTATGAAATCAAAGTTCTATAGAGATTCTTTAATGCGATCAGATGGAGACAAGTCTTTAAATATACACCAAAGGATCATGCAGAAAATAAGAGAGCAAGAAATGGAAAATCAATCTGAAGAAGAGAATCGTGAGTCCCGAATGATTACTTTGCTTAAAACATGAAATTTAACCTTAGGAGCTCTTCTTTTGAGTGTTTCACATTATGGGTTTTTATATTGATTCGAATCAAGAAGATTCTATGCTTTAAGTAAGCAGACCCATGATAACCAATTGAACCATGTATGGATGTACGGTCAAGTGCTAGTCATGATAATCATTCCACTTTTCTTTCTAGTGGCTTGGAAAATGTATAAATGAAATAAACCACTTTGGATAATGATGGCAACAACCATAATACCTTTTCTGATTGTATTATCCCTCGTGCTAACTTCCTGGAAGATTTACTACGAAGATAATTACTTTATAGTTTACTGATATGAGACAGCTGCTTCCTTCCTATTTGCTATTTCTTTAGCAATAATAAAATATACTCAAAAGCCAGGGGATAACTTTATGCAATCATATATGCACACTTTGAAGACAATGATATATTCTGATCTAATGTTGTCCATCTTTCTTCTTGTGATGAAATATTTTTGAATATACCCTTGGATATATTCAGAAGACGTGTTATATAAGTCTATAGCCTGGTATGATTGCTACTTCGACCCTCTTGTTCTGCCTGTAGCAGGATTTTATTTATTGAGCAACTTCTTGATCTCTCATATGATGTCTCAATCACAGAGGAAGAATTCTAAGAATATCTTTAGCCCAAGTAAAGTCAGAATCACAACTTTGTTGTGTCTCAAAGCTTTCGAGTCTGAAATTTTAACCTTGATCAGTCTTTTTATCAATAGTGAAGAGTTGGATATTATCGATATGATGGGCATGTTTGTATTCATCATTGCTATATTGATAATGAGTTGTGATGATACCTCAACATTACTCATCCAGACAATATTTTCCAAAGAGCAGCCTTCATTTATCAATGAAGTCTCAGAGGAAAACTACAATTCGAGGCAAAAATCAATGATTGATAGAAATTTAGAGTATTTTGTAGTTGAAACAGATGAGAGCTTACTTGTGAAGCATCGGGAAGCTATTTCTTCACACTATAAAGATGCATCAATTCAGAGGTTCAATCTGAAGTTTTACGGTATCAACATTCCTTCCAGTGGTCTTGATCCAAGAGATGAGAAGGATCTGATCCGGCAAGGCTTAACTGATTACACTGATAGATTATAGAATCTTTGAACCATGGATTTCTTATACTATTGAGGCTATTCAATATTATTGATTTAAAATGGGGTTTTGGGGTTTTGGGGTTTTGGGGTTTTGGGGTTTTGGGG